ATGAGTTTTGTTTCCATAGTGAACTTAAATTCGCACAATTAACGCAAAAAAAGTTTTGAATTAATGCTATTTTCAGTGACTGTTTCAGTTGTTTTTGCACTTTTAATTTAATTTTACATTTTTTTTTGTATGGACATTTTTTTTAACCTCACCCATATGATATGTCGTGACCCTAATGTCAGTGTTTGTCATACTGTGTTGCACTGTGAAATTAAGTGTCTTTGACTGGCAGAAATATCCCAATACTAAATGGCAAATAAAAACAACTTTGTGAAACTGCGACTAATCCGCACTTTTACAATGACTAACCTTGCCATATTGATGAGGTGTGTGTGTGTGAGAATGTGTGTGTATGTGTGAGATCCTGCATGAGTATGCGTGCATGATTACTCTTTTTTTAGCCTATGAGCATGTTTTGGATAGTTAGTGTTTATCTGATGTGTGCATAGTAGGGCCACAAATTACGTTTGTCTGCTTGGAAGGGTTTGAAGCCTGCCCCAGCCGACGATGTGTGCATGCTTCGTGTCTGTGCTTTCACTGAATGTGTGTGTGCAGTGGTGTGTGTTTGACGTATGTGTCGAAGTATAACGATCGCCCTTTACACACCAACACACCACCTCAATTCACAATAAGGGGAAAGCTGAATAAATACATAAATAAAAGCTAGGACACTGCCAAAGAGCAATAGCCAGTGGAATTTAACAATGGACAATAAGTAGAGACAAGCTGCTATTTTAACTTTTTAGTTTGTGCATCATGATGATGCAAAGTAAAGGCACTAAAGAGCTTTTTAAGTTAATCATAGAATAAAAGTTAGTCAGCAAACTTAACTACGGGGATCTGTATGTTTTCATTGATTCTGTGCCAGTGTTTTCCAGCATGTAGACATTTGGAAACTGGCACTTTGATTGGACCTAGACTGTGATCACTGAGATAATCAAACCAATCACCAATCACTTCAAACACAGACAATCTGTTCCCCGGTCCACTTCTTTTTCCACAGTCTCAAAGCTTGTATGACGAAATGTCTTTGGTTGCTTGTTAAGTTTAGTGTTTTTTTAAATGCGAGTAACTGATGTTTTTAGTTTCACAAATGGTTTCTGTATCTGAAAGATACGTTTACATTTTCTTTGGATGATGCTGTAGCAGTGACAGGTTAACGGACACAATGGGTTTAAATTGTTACAAAAAAGATGGGAACAAAGGACGAATGAAAGGAGAGGAATAATATTTTCTTTTCTAAATTCTGCTTTTAAATAAACAGCATGATATTGTTGCTATTTGGCAGAAAGACTTTGATACCTTTTTTTTTGTGGATTACTTTTGCCAGTTGTGATTCTTTTTTTGAAGGTGGGAATGGAAATAAAATGTTTTTTCAGTCTATTACATGATTTACAGTTTGTTTGTAAAATCTTAAAACTCCAGGAGGAGTGTGGATTTTTCGACCAAATCACTTTGCATGCTGAAGGCTGCAGGTGCTAGAGTTGCCAGTCTGATGTCTGAAGCTGACGTGTCAGGAGGTAATGTACCCTTAAAACATTTTCATCCTCATTGGCTACGTTTGGCCTTTACTTGTGGAAATAAACACATAAAACACAATCATCAAACTACACTGACATTAGCAAATCTGTAAATCTACACATGCTCAGCAGCAACTGATCTGTCACCTCCCTCCACATCTGAACTGTTTCCTTACACAGCTGAGCTGCCACCTCCAGCTTTGTCTCTTATTTCCATTTGGGTGGGTTGGAGTTGGCACTATGGTGCAGTGGTTAGTGCTTAGGCCTCGCAGCAAGAGGGTTCTGGGTTTGAACCAGGGCCTTTCTCTGTAGAGTTTGTATCTCCTCCCTGTGCTTGCTCGTATATATTTTAATAGGTACCCTGGCTTCACCCACAATCCAAATTTAAGACTGTATTGCCTGTCCATGTGTGAATGTGAGCGTGGATGGTTGTCTGTCTCTATATGCCGACCCTGAGATGGATCGATGACTTGTTCAGGAACTACTTGTCCCCCCCCCCCTAAGGATAAGTGGTACAGATGATTATTGAATGGATATTGGGCTTAGGGAGTAGAGTTTGAATTCCAGTCTCCCTCATTCTGTGCCAAAGTGTCCTTGGGCAAAATACACCTGAGGCTGTGCGGGGAGAGAGAGATGTGTGATAGAGGAAGTCCTGCACATGGATGCGCTGTATGAATGTGTGTGTGAGTGAGAAAACTACTGTGAAGCGCTTTGAGTGGTCATCAAAACAAAAAGTGTTTGAATACAAACCATTTATTATATCACTGGGAATATGTCTGAATCCAGAGCGTGCCACTTTTACCATGACAGGAACTCTGGGCCGACAAATTATCTGTGTTTGTACACATTATTTTGTACTTAATTGCAATTTGTTTTTGTGAGGACTGTTTTCCAAGTGCCGACAATAAAAACAGTTTGAGGTTAGAGTAAAGGTTAGGATTTGGTTTGCATGTTGTCTCATTTACAGTTAGGGAAAGGGGCTATGGAATTCATTATACCTATGAGTGTTCCCACTAACATAGAAGTACAAGAACGTGCGTGTGTGTGAAATACAAGATGGTCATTAAAATGATATAGAATGAACCTTTGACAGAGAGAAGATTCCACAGTGCTAGAATAAAGTTTTTCATTATTAGCACAAACGTACAGATCACTGGAATGCACCGTGTGTTTCCAGCATCATTTTATGGAAGCGGTGGAAAGAAAAAGATAAAAAGCAGTTTGTGTTTCTTTTTTTGTGTGGTTTTGTTTTACAGGTTTTTCACACCGACGTTCTACCCTGAAAACTGAGCCGACATTATTGTATCATATTGTAATGCAACACTGAGACTTCAGTGACTCACATCAGTCCACTGCCGACGTGTTGACAGATGCCTGTGAACCCTCATATGATGTCTGTAAAACATTTCAACAGCAAGGAACCCATTTAACTTGAGAAGAATAGATTTGATTATACTCATAGAAAACTGGAATGAATACATAACTGAGGCTGAAGAAAATCTAAGACAAAATCCAGGTCGCATGTCTCCTCTATGTTTAAACAAAGGTTGAAAGAGGAGTGAGTAACCTGCACCACGATAGAAATGTTTGAGATTATAGAAGTAAAGTAGCTTTGATGCAAATGTACATAAAGTACTGAAATCAGTTTTTAAATGAATTAAAGTATTTCAATCAAATTAATAGAACAACTAGAAACAAAACTGCTTTATTAGACTCTAACTTTGTGTCCGAGATTGGATGTGTGCTTTCGGGGGCGTCTTTCTAAATAATAGGTTCCTCTTCAGACGTGTCACAGGCTGCACCAGATTCTCCTTTTTTTCCATTTATTTTGTAAGTGTCTGTGTTTATTAGAAATAATTATGTCTTGGGTCGTTTGTGTTAGTGTTCGCAGATACTCTTAAGCCACGTACACAATGTTAACTGCAGATCATCCTTTGGTCACCACCTTGTTTCAAAAGAGAGGGAGCATCAGTCCAGATTACGTCGTCCGCTCCTTTTTAAAACCTTCACCGTAGTGTTTCATCAGTCACTCATTGAAGTGTCTTGCTGAATTAATATCACTTGAGCCTTGGACATGAATGAAACATCTGAGTTCTCGTTCCACAAATTGGACAAGGACATCAAGGAAGTCTTGATCTTGATTCGAGCGATATCGGTATATGCCTCAGGAAGATACTTTGAGTCATCCTCAAAGTATCTTCCTTTTCACTGTCCTTGTCATCATCATAATCAAACGTAGGATAGGGCATCCATTCACATTTGGGGAAAGAAGTCTGAGATCCGTTGGAATGGTATTGTTTACCCTGAAGCTTTGGGTGGAGCTGGGGTTGAGGAAGATCCCTGAGTACAGTCTTCCTCATGTCTGTGTCATCCTCACATGTAGTTTATGGCTTTATCAGCCCTGTGTTCAGAGAACGAAAGCAAACACCATCACCTGTTTGAAAGCTGTTTGTGGCTAAATGAAATGTGCGTCTGATACAAACAAGGCCACAAAGTTGCTATTGTTTTGAGAGATAAAACATTTAGGACACCACACTCAGGGGTAATGCCTATAGTGTACATCTCTGTTTAATCGCTTCTGTATTAACTGATAGTAACTTGTTTTTCCTGTTCTGGAGGTGTGATTATTTAGTGTCTTGTTCATGTCCCCATGGATTTTACTGCCCGAGAAAGGAAGAGACATTTCCTCAGTGGCACTTGAAAGAACACTATGTGTTCTGATATAAATCGAAGGTCGAACTGATCAGATCAGAAAATGTCTCTAGCCTTGAATGACATCTTACTTTTGGTGTATGGCAGCTGATGATGGACAAAAGTCAATAGAACCTGGTGGCCCTGTAGACTTAACTGCACTCTTATACACACATAACCTGATTATTTGACTATGTTCTTTACTTTGACAGGACAGGTCCCAGCACATGACTCATGAAAAGCTTCTCATAGGGCTAACCAGTGGAACCAGATCAGTCACATGCACAGATCACCTGCCTTTTTAGCCTCTGACTAAAAAAGTGTCCTTCCTTCAACATTTATTTTAATTTAGTTTTCTAAATCTGTGTCTAAGTTTTTTTTAACATGCCCTGTGATGGCATTATTATTCAATTAAACGTGTGTTGAGTTACAATTCTACCAGACCTCGCAGGCCCCTCCCTCTTCCACCACAATGTTAGCATGTGAATCAAGCATCAAGTGACAAGGTTCGTTTCTTTGACTTGTCCTTTTTGATGTCAATCAGGCAGCCATAGTGTCAATTGGGTTTCACAGTTGTAAAATGAAAAGCGTCGGAGGGGACACAATATGTAAATATATATATGTACTTTAAAGTACTTGAATAAATTAAAGTGTAATTAAAAGATTCACTACAGTATGTAACCTAATTTATTTTATAAATAATTATTAGAGGGGGGCCCTTTTATTCAGTTGAACACCTGCCCTTAAAGTGTCTGTGCATTGCCCTGAACTTAGACAATCAATTGATCGACTGACCAACCAACCTGATCAATGTCCTTGAAAAACATAGAAGAAATGATCGATGTGGACCTTTTTCCTATCAAGTCAATAACTTTTAAATATTTTCCTTTACAGAAATCCCCGACATTCCAGAGAAGCACTGAGGTGATCAAACATACATGTGACAACTTAGCCTCCCCCACTGTCTCTGCATTTACATTTTACATGTTTTTACATTGTATCTACATTAAACTGACAAAACAGTAATTCAGAGACAACTATAGCAGGGAGACAAACTCATAGTAAAGCGAAAAAGACATAAAACTCCAACTTCAAAAAGAAAAGTAACAGACACATGCTGAAAATATGAGTGATACATATAAGTGATACAGCAGGAAAACATACAGGCTATAGACTCACATGTTACTCCTCATGCCTCTGACATATGTTTTAATAAAGAGAAACACTGTGTCTTGATCAGGCACCGGTTCAATTTAAAAGTCTCTCAGTTGATGGTGTGCTGGTCATCAATGTCCTTGTTTAGTGCAGCGTGGTGTAAAGTTTATGACACAGCCGCACGTGACCTTGTCCTTATAAAGTCTCTAGAGAAGATAAATAAAAAGTGTTTTTACCCAGAACAGAACTTAAGAATAGCACTATATTAATGTGACTACTGCTGTGTCCCAATTCAGGGGCCGCCTCCATCACAGGCTGCGTTTCACATCAATGTGACCATAAAATGGAGCCGTCACTTTACTCCCTACGGGTGAATCCAGGATTCATAGCGCTTAGGTGGCAAACTGCTTTTCAAAGGGATAATAGCACAGGCAAGTGACGAGACCAAAACATCCAATACTTTTAGATGCATCAGGCTTCAACTGAACAGCTGACATGTTAAAAAACCCAACAGGCATTAAAACTTTCTCGTCATGTCCAACTGCAGCTTTGTTGCTCGGCGACAGGATGGGACAGGCTGGTGATGCAGACCACAGAAATCCTCTGTAGACCAGACTGTCCCATTTCTGTGCTGCCAGCACGCTCTACTCCACCTCCTTCGCTCCTGAATTGTTACACAGTTTATGTAAATGGAACTACTTGATTTTTATCTTTTTGCATCGTTCTTCCATTTGTGTCTCTTAAGATGGAGGTACTGTACTTATGATTACGCCTACACCTACAGTAGGGATCATGATGTCATTCCTCGTTGATGCAATCCTCATGCTTCTTCTGTGTTTTGTCAATGTATCCTTAATGGGTCAGAAGTTGCTGAAGATCTCTTGTCTCTTGCTCCAGTCCATAGGGGGCGCTCTCTTTTTGTTGCGGCCGGTGAGGGCCTTTTGCTTTGCCTCAGCAGCTGTCGGACTCAGTCGCAGGCCACTGTCCATGAAAGGGTCTGAAACACGCCTGTCGTCCTCATCAGGGACCTACAACACACACAAACACACATGTGTTAATGCAACACATTCAGCAGCTTCACATCCCTGTCACTTGTTTTTATGGCGTCTTACATCGTCTCCTCCCTCACCTGGATGCTCATGTCTGAGCTGCTGATCTCTGATTGGGTGGTGGAGCTTCTAGAAGACTGGGATGCTGAGCTCCCATTGGTGCGGGACTTTGGAGACACTTTGTGATCGGGGGAGTCAATCAGCGTGATGTTGACGATTGGTGCATCCGTGCCTGGCGGTTCAGTGGTGGGAGACGGAGTGGGTGGGACGCTTTCTGAAGCCGATTCGTCCACATAGATCTCTGAGGAAATAAACAGAAGACACAACGTTAACTAGGATGACAGGAGAATATAGCGAGTTGTATGTGTCTGTCTGTATGAGTGTTCTAAGTGACCTTTGACATTGCGGGTGGTGGGTGTGATCCCTAGTCTGTGGAAGAGCTTGTCCGTCTCCTGGTCGACCATAATGAGGCGGACTTCGTTTCCTCCTGCTTTGATGAGGGTCACCACCTCCGCGTGCTTCAGACCCTCGATGTTCACTCCATTCACCTGAGACAGAGGACAATGAGACATCAGAGGAACAAGATGTAGGAGAAACTTCTTTGTGATTTGAATTCCTTTTTTTCTGTCTCCACGCCGCCCACAGCCGGTGGTCAGAGGCATTATATTATTAGGTTGTCCATCCATATATCTCATTCTTGTGAACGTCTCAAAAGTGCATTGAAGCAGTTCCTTCAAATTTGGTACAAATGTTCACTTGCACTTAAAGAAGAACTGATCAGATTTTGGTCAATTGAAGGTCAAAGGCCATGGTGACCTCATGTTCTTTTGAACAGGATATATCAGGAGATATTTGGGCAAAAAAATGCTCAAAAATAAGTCATGGGTAAGACTGTGGATTGAGATTGTATCCTGTGGACTTGTGTCCACATTATTTTTAACGAGAAGAGAAGTACTACTTAAATTAAGTTTATTGTTATTACTGAATATTAAATCGTAATTGGAGACATAGGAGGAGAATAGGAGACAAAGCAAAGATTACGGAGTAGCCATGACATAACATGACAGGAGGCACAGTATGTGTGGTCTAAACGATCAGCTGATTTGAATAGAAGGGAAGTGATTTGCAAGAATTGTCTTCCTGCCTCCACAATGTTAACTGTGCACCTCACACAGAGGGACACAGAATCTCACTCATATCTGCACCCCTGTGACACACGTGCATGCAGGTAAACATATAATAAAACCGAAACACCATCTCCCTCTCTACACCTCTATTCAAGATTATCCCCTTCTCTCCCTTTACCTCTTAGATCAAGACTTCTCTCTCACACCTATTCTAATCTTGAGTTAATCTGCTCTAATCTAATCACACCACAAATCTGGGAACTGACTATGGCGTGGGTTCTGTTGTTTTTATTGACGTTTCTATAAAGGTTTAAATGTAACGAAGGTTTATTCTAATGTGTGGGTTGCATCTTGATGAGGAATAGTAATTTTTCCCAACATAGATTTGATCATGTCCATGTTACATCCTGCTGATATAGATCATGTGAATATAGAATGGTTTGCAGGAATTGCTTGTGTGTGAATGCAAATCTGCCTGACCCACTGATCACAACTGTATTTGGACACTGTCTGATAACAAACTGGCTCATAGGCTCATCATTTGCCTGTAACCTATTTAACAAGACTTTGAATAACTTGATCGACTACCTCCACTAGTCTGTCTCCAGGCCGGATGTCTGCGCTCTCTGCAGCTGAACCAGGGTCCACAGAACGGACAAACTGGCCACGCTTGGTCTTATTGCTGTGCAGGTTGAAGCCGTAACCGTTCTCCCCCTTCACCACGTGACACAGTCGGGGGAAGAGCCCAGTTGTCAACTCTGGTGAGGGCTCAGACTGAGACTGCAATGAGAAATAAGACAAGAACAAAGTCTTCACTTAAACAGATTTTAGTTGCAGATTGAATTGAACTGTAGAATTGCTTTATCATGTAAACAGACTGCAATATAGGCTTAACATCAGTTTTGACAGATTATGAAACTCAAACAATTGTTCTATCAAATGGAAGTGAATGAAAAACAATGGCGTATGCAGTTTGTGATGATGTTTTATTGGTCGAGACACCTTTGTGACACATTGTAAATACTAATACACGATATAATAGAGACTGCAGGGATTTGATGTTGGATTGTGTAGGTTAGGGCTGGGCAATAACTAAATATTGCAACTTTCAGTGTTATTGTTCTTTACAACAATATGATCATATATCATATCATATCATGACACATCTTATTTGACTCTTATTCCCTCTATTTATTACACTTTCAATTTTCTTACAATTTTCTTTCTTAATCAGAATTATTAATATAAATATATTTTATTGTTGTTATGAAAAACATTTATTGTACTTTCTATTATTTTTATTGTTAAAGTTGTGACATTTAAAATGTGTTCCATATGTTATCGTCAGCATTTTTTTATTATGCTAAGGTGCTATACAAATAGTGTTTTATTGATTCATTGATTTTGTATCGTAACATAACGTAACGTATCTTATCATATCATTTCATTTGAGTCTATAAAGAGTTACATGCATTTTAATGCAAATTTTATTTTGAATAAGGTGGTGACAGAATGTTCTGGTGTGGCTGTTAACCAGGAGAAAGTGGCTGCTGGGATGAGCCAGTGGGCTAAGTGGATCTGCCTGAGAGACATTAATACCAACCCTCAGTCTAACGACTAATGACAGGAGTTGACACATTGTGTGACTCACCTGCCTGACTGAACCTGCCCTTTGGCTACAGGTACATGCTGTGTGTGTGTGTGTGTGTGTTTGTGTTTGTGTGCCAGGACCACACATTGGTCTGTGTCCTGAGGGCTGCGCAGTGTCTGTCTGGTGCTGTGACTGTGTCTTCATGGGTAAGCTGACCTGAAGGCTCTCTGACAGATCTCTCTGTACTTTCTGCTCCATTAAGAAAGATTCTGAGTGCACACACACACACACGTGCACATGAAGACACGCAGATGGAGACAGCGCTCATCATGGGTCTGTCAGCCAGAGTGCAAGCTGTAGCAATGGAACAGATCACCTTGGTGACGGATCACCACAATGTCAGGTCAGGTCACTGTGGTGATGGGTCACCATGTCTCCTTCTGCTTTTAGACATCAGTCCATGTGGCTGCCCTGTTTACTATATTTACCACGTCGGCCCAAATTAATTGACACAGGCTGAACACCATGCTGCCCTGGAAATCAACTGATCCATTCTCTGTCTTTTTTCTACAGATACAGTATTTCCATGTTGTGATATTGATAATTGAAACAGTTAGAGCTGAAACAGTTAGTAGATTAATTAATTAGTATTATTATATTATTACTATACTATTATTGTTGGTGACTGAGTTTCCATTCCACTTCCTATCTTGTTTCATAATATAAATAAATCAATTTCCAGGGCTTTGACTATTTGCTGGACAAAACAATCCATTTGAAGATGTGATATGACATGTGATTTTTGATGTTTGCTTTTCACTATTTTACAAATCAGATGATTAATCAATTAGTTCAGACAGAAATGTCTTATGAACGACTTAATCAAATACCACACCGTATAAATGAAAAATGTTAGCAGTAAATCAAATGTACACAGGGAGGTTAGCGGGGGTGTTGCGTTGTGTAAGTTAACTGCCTGCGACTGTTGCGTGGACATGACAGCAGTCAACATTGCGGTTACGTAAGACTACTGCATATGGGTGTCTGCTTCCATAATAATATCATGCAACGATGAAATTGCATCTGTATTTACATGATCAGCGCGATGAATGTCAGTGACAAGATGTACGTCACAGAGGGGGACAGATGAAGAAGAGATTGTGATGTGAATGAGTACTGTTTGCATGAGTCTGTGGTAACCCCGGGATTAATATACCATGATGTATCTCTAATCAGAGCTGCTGAGTTAGAGGCCAAAAATCTGTACTTTACTGAAGAAGATTATTTACTTATTTTCAGGTAAATATATCAGCAAATATCTGTACTCTCTACTTCACTACATTTTTACACTGAATTGCGTTAATTGTTCACATTGATATTTTTTATATTTCGAATTAATCAATAACGAAAGGAGAGCTGGTCCAATGATCCAAACAGAGCAGGCAGGGCCCAGAATTGTTCATTAATTAATATGACAATACAAGTATTTTCAGTTGCATCATCTGCAGCGTTCTTCATCAATATGACAAATTCTCTATCATTCTTGCATCAAACAGAATATACAGTAGGCACAGTTAATGATGTAATAGACCATTGCATTAGGGAATAGGCTACACCCTGCCAGTACTTTTACTTTTAATACTTAAATATACTTAACAGCAAGTACTTACATACTTTCACTCAAGTACAAAAGTTAATGTGGCCCTTTTACTTGAGTGAATGTTTGTTATTTATTTGCACTTTGTAAATGCATGAGTCCTTCTGCATCATTGTCAGTATATTTCAATAGGTATAGAAAGTGAAAAGATGTCTGTTTACTAAAAGGCAGACGCATGGAAACTGCAGGAAATCCGGGGAACCTTATGGTGCTCACCAAAAAGACTCTTTCTTTAGGTAATCTTATTGCTGATGGAGGAAGAAAAAACGATATATTAAATGTCTTATTTTGTCGGATATATATTAATGGCAAAGAGACAATTTATGCCTTAAAACACACTTTGAAGAGATTATAAAAAAATCTCTGCCCCCAGTTATGGTTTATTTCAAAGTAGCTGAATGCGGACAATGTCAGGAGCTCTGTGATTAAAAAACAACAAAAAACATATACTGTATAAAATGATTGTATCGATTAAGGCTGTCACTTGTAATGTAATAGATTGCTCCGTGTTGTTGTATAGGTGCTGCTATCGTTGCACATGCTTTTGTTTTATCTGAACCTTTTACTGAAATGACTGAGAGAGAGAGAGAGAGAGAGACACAAAGGGAGAGAAAGTTGTGACGGCCAGCGAAGGGGCAGCCTGTATTTACCCTGCCTTCGGTCCAAACAGATGGCAGTTTGACGTGAGCTGCGGGTTCCCTGGGATCCTGGTCTTACTTTGTTTGAAACCCAAACACTGGACTCAATCTCTGACAGCCAGTTCCCGGTTATTTCTGCAGCCGCATGTCACAGTGATGTCACAGCACTTTTTGATTTTGTTGCATCATGTGTACTGGCACGTCAATGTATCTGACTTTGTTGTGCACAGCTTTGAGAGCATAGCAAAAAAAAACCCCACCATGTCCCACACTAGGAGAGATTATGTGCCTCAAGCCCAAAATAAACAACACAAATACAAAAGTGTAAAGCAGTTATGTCAAACCTGATCCCTCCTATGTCTGCTATCTTTCCTCCCAGCAGACATTCAGAAGCTGCAAAACCCACTAAATCTAGAGTCAAGCAGACAAGATGAGTGGTAAAATCCAAACAGTCCCTGGGTGCACTGCCTCAGCTGAGCCTCCTGTCAAAATAAGAGCTTAAGGCCGACAGACGTCTGAGATTTTCTACTCTCAGACTGTTTTTATCTGTCTCTTTATAACGCTGTATACAAAACAATGAGGGGGTGAAGGGACAAATTCTCAGTGAAGTCTGTGGTTCACACCTCTGACTTGGGCACACAGTCTCCCACTGTCTTTCCCAAAGTGGAGATCCGGCCTCCGTAAACAATACCTATAGTATTCTAGCAGGAAACAGTCAGTTGAGCAGAGTTTTGTCTGCAGTCAGGTGGGAACAACCCAACAGCTGAATGAGTGAGGTGTGGAATCTCATTTTGCACATAGAGACCACTTTCTAGTTTAAGTCTTCACACCTATGAGAGACGTCAGTGGCTTGTAATAAATAGATAAAACAATGGATTCAGATGATCTGAGATGTTTGATTGACTAGAGGACAAGTGATTACAGTATTTTTGTGTCCGTTAAAGAAGAAATTCAAGCCACAATATAGTGAATAATGCTGAATCATTTCAAGTCAGTCCATTAGTTACTTACAACTCCAAATCAAGTGCCCTGACTTGGGTCTTTTCTTAAACTCTTTTATGCTTATGCCCTTTTTTTGTCTTTGTCACTGCACTCAGAGGCCTGTTTCTGCCCTGCTTTTTTTTTTTTTAGATTTTTTCACTCATAGCTGTTATAAGAAGCCACAAAAACCTCTCTAAAGGCACTGCTGTGAGACTAACAGTCAAAGTGCTCCAGTCCAGATTAGTACTTGATGGGCATCAGGTACAAGAGAGGAATGTTCAGTGTCTCACACAAACTTAACACAGTAATTTACTGGTTCACTGCTGGAGGCCGGCATGTGAAACTAACCATTTCAAATCCAGACTTTGGTCTGTTCCCTTTTTTTTCGTCTGATAAAAACAGGTCATCCATGAAAGCCGTCTGAATATAAAAACATTCGACCACAAAGCAGAGTCTTGTGTGTTGATCTCCCCCCTTACCTCTGTCTCAGTTGTTGTACTTGATGTCACTGAGGATCTCTTGACCTTGCCTTGTGTAATCACATGAGTGGGGGAGTTTGCAGCAGGAGGGTGAAATGAGTGTGTGTGGTTGGGTGACATGGGTAAACACTCTCTGGGGATGGGAGAAGAGGAAGGGGTGGCTGCGGGCGAGGGCCGCGGGGAGAGGGTTCCCATCTCGACGGCGAGGTCCTCGGTGCAGGCCAGGCCTTGGCTAAGGAGGTAGTCGTCCGTGTCTCTGTCCACCACCAGCAGCCTGGTGCGGTGCTCCACCTCCCGGATACGATTCACCACCTGCAGTGAGGCAGAGAGAAGTGGCAGAGAGGAGGATTGAGAACAATTAAAATGTGCTGTAATAACATGTTGTCCACTCTGAGCTAGCCTGTGCATAATATACTTTTGACGTGACAAAGACACCCAGTGATTCCCATTTCACAAGGAGGATATTGACCCATTTTAATAGCTCCCCTCCTCCTCCTCAGGCAACAGAAAAAGTGGTCTAACAAGTATACAACTCATTGTTTGCACCTCAGAGAGTTCATGTGGCTCTCATGGCTCATGTCCTGGCTCATGTCCAACACAACATTACACCTGGGATGATTTTTTTCAAATCTCTATATATTATCACTCACTTGATGGTGATTTTCTTTCTCCACATTCTCGCCGTTCACCTCCACCACCCGGTCTCCTGGTCTCAGCCCGCCCAGGTCAGCCGAGGAGCCGGGGTCCACTCTGCGGATGAACTGTCCGCCTTTATTCCGCTCACCGTGCAGGTGAAAGCCATACCCGCGCTGTCCTTTAGTCAGGAAACACAGCCTGGGTCTCAGCTCACTCTCCATCCCTGCGAGTCACAAGGTGGAAAACAAGTCGAAGTGTCTCAGCAGAACAAACTGGCGCTTTGTCCAGGAGCTGTGGAAAGGCTCTGGCTCTTAATCCAATGTACGGCTGCGCGCTGCAGGGAGAAAAAGATCACCATCATTTAGCATGATGCGAGTCCATTAATAATCCACAATTGTTCAAAGACAAATCAAAAACTAGGTTAAAACTAATGAGTGTTTAATCCATCGTGCAAAAATGCCAAGGGACCGCAAAAAAAGCGGTGCGCGCTGTGCGTAAAATAGCGGCCAAAGACCACAGACAGGGGCTAAATCCCGTCCATTGGAGCAATAATCCAAGCGATCAGAGATTAGAAAGCTTTTCCTCGCACGTAACGCTTAATTCTCCTCGTCAACTGGGCAGGTGTCCTCCTGTCCGACCCGGTGAGACTGAGGAGGCGTCGACAGCAGATGCCACTATCCCCCACTCTCTCTCTTTCTCTCTGTGCGCACACCTGACGCCTGAGCGCAGACGCCCTGTAGTGACATAAAACTATTACCTGTCAGAGGAGTTAGCGCAAAGGCAACACGGTTTGTTTGTTTGGGGATGAGATGAGTCCACAGAGGGCAGCCAAGGTGCGCTCGAGGCGCGTTCAACAAGTGGCCCGACAGTGTGATGCCAAGGATCCAGAGGCTTCTCCTCAGGTGGTGGAGGTGAAACCAGACTGACTGTGACCTGAGAGCGGATATCTGCCTGATCCGCCCTCTGTCCCCGTTCCCTCACATGGAGATCAGTAAACGGATGGGTTGCGTATAAGGAGATTTAATCATGAAATATAACTTCCTTGTCTTTGTGGCGTGGAGGCCAGGGCGTGTAGAGAAAACAACAGGAGAATCTTGTGTAATTCAGGAGAGCAGAGTACAAGATATCACTGATATTCAGTAAAGATGACACGTGCACAGGACGAATATTTGTGTAGATGACAGTTTGATGCCTCTCAGATTCACACGTGTCAAGACAGTAATCCTCAACAGTGCTGCTGATGTGCCCTTGAGCAATGCGCCACAGGGGAAATATTACATTGTTGCCTGAGTCATGCTGTCAGCTGTTTCATGGTCAACACTACCATGCATGCTAGTTGTATAGTGACTGTGAATGTAAGTGCTCATTCAGCTCTGCCATCATTAACAGTCTAATAGTTGAATCAACAAAAAAAAACCATTAGAGGAATAAATGTGTGCATGAACACAGGTGTAACTAACAACATTAAGGCGGCTCTGTTCCACTTAAGTGTCTCAGTGAGGTGACAGTGATCCAAGCAACCACAAGCCCTGGAGGAGGCACAGGATGCACTCCTTACTGTAAGTGATTACACCTGCACACTTCCTGCTTTAACATGCCTATTACTTTGGTTACTGGACGATACTACCTCTGTGAAGTAATTACAGTCTCTTTTATAATGTACTCATGTGGACAAGAGTTCAAGAAAATCCAAGTTCATTCCCATTACATACAAAATATTCACATTTAAAAAGATACAACATAGTTAACAAGGTTGCCTTAAACAACAGTCAATGAAATACTCCATTTTATTGTTAGACAATCTAGTAGAGATTAAGTTTGGAACAAGTGTCACTTACACTGTAAGTCAATTTGTTTTGGTTACTTGCTTGAGCAGGAAAAATAATTACAACAAGCGAAACCTGTTTCGATCTTCTCATAAGCACCTGACTGTTGTTTCAATACAGGCTTGAAATACAGAGGATAAACCTACAAGCTGTGCTGCTGAGTATCATCATGCCACCACTTGTTGTGTACTTTTGAAAAGAGGCCATGATGATGTAGTTGTACAATGATTCTGGGGTTGAACCACAATGACAATCTTTAGTGTTGGGTCAGTTCTTTTGACTAAACGTTTCACAATTGCGGGTAAAATATGATCTGCCAACAAGAGATAGATGAATACAACCAGCTTTATGCATTTTGTTTATCCTGCTCATGTTCTTTAATTTCTACAGTGATGGATAGTATATTCCAGGTTCAGGGGAATAACATAATGAAATGTGAATATGTGCATACAACACTGATAGACTTTGGATTAGTTCCTCAACAAAGGGGGTTGATTTCATTGCAGTAGCAGGATTCCACAAAACTAAACTGATTTTATTGAAAGACGGTGGAAGGAAGGGACATAGGCCGAGCAAGAACCCAGTAACTTTCACTTTCTTGAATATTGTGGGATGTTTTTGTGAAATTCTAAAGAAATCCTTTGAGTGAAATTCTGGATTGATTTTTTTTCTCAAAATGTCTCTTTTTGAATCAATGGTAAACCTGAAATGAATGACTTAAACCTCTAGTTTTCGACATGACTTTTTTTATTTGGTAAAAACAGTACAAAAAATATTGAATTTAATGTAAACGGTAAATAAACTGTATTCACAATGTTTAGCTTATGCTGATGTTTTCAGTGTTTGGTCACAGAATATAAAACTTATGCAATGAATCAGTGGTTCAGTTTCGCTTTAAGCCTCCTTCTCTGTGTGGTCGAGGAAACAGGAGAAGACAGTGGCTCTGTCTTTGTTCTCTCATCTTTAAAAGCACATTCCAGTTCAGGTTCAGTTTTAGTTTTGAAGGGCGACTTTGGACTCGCAGAGTGTGGCGATCCAGCTTTAGGCCTCTTTGTGGGAGAGTTCTTGTGGGCAGATGGACAGCTGTGCTGGTTCAGACACACGGAGCAGAGGGGGTTGATGGGAAGACAGACCTGCTGCCCAAAACCCACCAGCAGCCAGTTAATCTCACTCCACAGCTCCCTGCAAAGAGTGTGAGAGGAACATATCAGCCACTTTAAACCTGCATCAATTGTTTTTTTTAACCATTCAGTGGCAGGGGAACCAACTCCTCAGCTGCTAAATGCTTCTCAATGTTTATAACTTTTTGTTTGATGCTGGGTAGGTAGTGTTCAGTTACTTGATCAGAAATAATTGTCTTTTTTTAGTTGCCTACTTCGGCCCTCAAAAACCGATAACAGCATAAAAGGAGAATTAAAACAAAAAGTTAGGTGCTTTTAAACCAAAACACTGACTGAAGCCAAACACCTCTATAGACCTGAGGGGGGCTGCATCTCATATTTATTTATATAATATTTATTATAGCAGCTTTAAATCAATTGCAAATCAATAGGAGAGGGCAAAGAAAAGAAAAAGATGAATAATTACGTAATAAACGTACATATACATCAGCGCCACAGCTAAATAATCTAACCTTGAAATGTGTCCAAGTCTGAATTTATAAAATCAAATTTATAAAAGATACTGTTTGATATGAGTTTTGAATGACCAGAGGATACTATTCATGTTTTATTGAAGAGTAACATCACTGACAGGAACAGACATGTCAGTCACCATGGTCCAGGTTTCAAAGCCACTCGTGCTGACACTGATCATTGTAGATTTGTCGGCCCCTGCTAATCAAGTTGGTCAGGTCAGCGGTGAACTAGCCATGCTGTTACCTGGGCAACCACTCCTCCAGGGCCTTGCGTGTTGCCTCTGGGTTCTTGGTGGGCTTCCTGAGCCAGCCCAGCCTGTTAGAGATACGATGGACATGTGTGTCCACGCCTAAACAAAAGGCAGACACAATCATTTACAGCAGGCACACGCATATTTACACTTGTGTATAATTATGAAAAAATAATGTTAATGTCACATGATTTCAGATATACAGCAGCTTTCCGATTTATTTTTCTAAGCTAAGCTTTTATCAACCTCAACCTTTTTTAAGACACACAACCTAACAACATTTTTGCCTCAGTGCAATCTGACTTCTTTATTAATTACGAATGTATTGCAAAAACAGAAAATGCGTCATATAACATTATATATGATCAGATAAAGAACTAGAATGACACTCAGTAGAGTGGATACCTATGTCAAGACTTAACATTGCCTTTAAATTCAATCAAGCAGTTTTTTCCTTTTAATCTGTCTGGAAAGTCTCCATATTCAGAGATCTATGAACAACAGCGTGCATCTTCT